GGTCTTTGATTAATTGGCCTGGTGGTACATGGAGTAGAATCCAGTATTTTTCTTTTACATTTCCTAAAATGTATTTGACAATTCACTGTGCACACTCCAGTACCCTGGCACTGCTCTTTGGCAGAGCCCAGTGTGTCGCTTTTCAACCATGGCTAGTGACTTGTGCTCATCTCTATTCTGCCATGAACATTTCTAACCAATATGTAAACCCTCTGCTTGTTAAAGCCACTGCAAAAATGGTTTCCTATTAACCATTTTTATTTCCCTTGTTTGCCTAGCAGAGTAGGTACCCTGGAAATGCAAAGGAAATCCAGTAGATTATCAGCATTTAAAACAAGGCTACCACATACTGTTGTACTTGCAGTCAACAGTGATGAGGGTAGAGATTTTGACAAGAAAGCCAGAATTACTGAAACGACATTACCAAATGACTGTGTGTCATGACTTAAAAGAAAAAAGAATTTAAAGAGATGGAAAAGACCTATTTTATCAATTTATGATTTTATTTTTATTGTTATTTGCCAGCATGTTTCCCTGTGTATTATACAGGGAAGATAGCAGATAGAAAACTTCATATTAACCTAGGTTTCTCTCAAGCCTCATAAAAATTTAGTTTACAAAGTCTCTTCTTTATTTGTCAGCATCTGTACATCCAATGAAAACAGATATATTTATATGTATTTTTTTTCCCCTACTGATTCTTTGGGGTTCTTCCTGTCTCTTTAAAGTAGCCAGTGAGGCTGAAATGTCCAAGGTCAAAAGAATCAGATTCCTTAATTGTCATTTATTGAGCAATGAAAAAAAAATATCTTAGAGTGTTTCAAAATAGAAGACACTTTTAAAATGGTGCCTTTATATATATGTTTTTAATCTAGCACAGGTATGATTCCCAAGAGTGGCACAATCCATAAAATCTCTCCCTAGACCATCATCTAAACTATTGACGTCATGGAAATATATAACATTGCTTCAATAACCTTATTGCTTTTGATTTTTCTCGTCAGCTGAAGAGTTCCTTCCACACAGAGTTTCTTTCAGAATTTGGCCCACATTTATTAGGAAAAAAAAAAAAAAGACACAAGAACTTTTTTTTTTTTTTTTTATCAGTTTTACTAGAATTAACCCAAATGTTTATGGAGTGTCCTAATTCTGAGATGACAAAAGCACAGAGGTTTGCATTGATGTCTGCACCCAGACTTTCGATATTCATAAGCCTGTTGCTGTACTGAGCTGCAATCTCATGTAGATATTCAGGACAGATCCATTTTGCATATGACTCTGGGTTCATTGGAGGATGTGACCAGCTGATCTAACACCAGGATTGTCTGCTAATATGTACCATTTATTATTTCACCTCAGACTACTCAGTACTCCTTCACCAAAATATAAAAAATAATAGTTGCTGCTGTTTGAGAGATGTGAAGAGAAATCTTCAGGGCTGGTTAACCTCAATAATACACTTCTTCCTACTTTTTATGCTAATTCATCACCTAGACTGAAAACGGTCAAGAAATTAATATTTTATTCACAGACTTCCTACATGACAGAGTTCTATTCTGATTTATTGTAGAATCTAACAGTTCAAAGAATCATTTGAGTCATTGTACATCAGAAATGGACTAAAACACCTAACTATCCCCAGGATTTGACTCATGGCCTGCTGTCTAGGATCACAACACCTTCAGTGTTTCAGATGGCATTTGAAGTCTATAATCAAATCTTCATTGACCTAGATCACTCTTGCAATGGCATCTTCCAGTTAAAGAAAAAAGTTTGACCTCAGTCTGTTTTGGTATTTTTTTATTATTTTTAAATCTCAGGCTGTCTTGGGAATTTCCTGTGATTTATACTGTGGATTATATTGGTGCCATGTCCAAAAACACAGCACAAAGACCTGCAGAAAGAAGGCTGTAGGCTATAGCTTGTGTATAGCCTGCATAGTTTGGTGCAAGGACGGCCACTTTTAATACAGTCAAGCAAATGACATAACCCGTATCTGTCCTGATACCCAAAATGGAATAGAATAGTAGAAGAGTGAATATTTCAAGTTAAAGGTGAGAAAGCCTACTGTATTGCTGTCTGATCTTAACCCCATTTCCCCTTCCTGCCATGAAAGAGCACTCTAAAGTACGTCCAATTCATTTCCTCATTCTTTGCTCACCACACAACAACTATTTCTCTGTGTTGCCCTTTCAAAACAACCATCTCTTCTCATTAGAAATACAGAGGAGGGAGAAAGGATTTTTTCTACCAAAATTCATTTTTTTCCCTGAATTTTATGTACCAGGGCTAGTTTACGGTGGTGTGGCTCTTGGGCATGGGTTCTTCCCTGCGATTAATGTCACCCTGAAGGGTGATTCAGGCCTCCTACGATCTTAGTCAGTCTCCCTAGGAGTTTATCTTTCTCCAATGACTATAGGGAGAGCCACCAGCAGCCAGGATTCTGATCAAGGTGACTCAATGACTGCCGAAAGCCAGGCGATCTGAAATGCAGCCTGAGGGTTGCTAAATAGATTAAGAACACAACGCTGCTTTTTAGGATTCAGAATTGCATTTTCTCACTTGCCCAGGCTGATCCAGTGCTGAACGCAAAGTTCATTTTTCTGATATCCAGGGACATTACTCATGTCCCTAGACATGAAATATGGGAAAAAAAAAAAAAAAAAAAAAAAAAAAAAAAAAAAAACTTCAAATTCCACCTTAATTCCCCCTTTCCCAAACAAGCTTAACTCTCAATCCTGAGCGGTGCAGGATCTCTTTTGAAATGTAATTTGCTGAATGATATTTTGATAAATGATGATTATACCATGCAAAGCCATATAGGTTCACATCATTGTTTTAAAATTCTTTAACAGTCTCCTTGTTCTAGTGCTGCAGTATACAGCCTTTCAAGGAAATACATTACGTCTTCTTTAAAGCACGAGGGCTTGACAGCTATTTTGAGAATGGATGTCATAGTATGAATTGTATAAGCATGTGCAAAAACATTTAAAATTCACAGGATCTGAGTATAACTTTGCAAAGTTAAATTACTGTAATGTCAGAAGGATAAGAAATGTGTTCAGCGTTATGAAATGAACAGATATCTATGTGCTGTTTTCAGTCCTTATCATTTAATGGCATATAACAATGTTTTGCTGTTAGACAAGCAATCAAAAAAAAAAAAAAAAATTAAATGTATATAACCTTGTCTTAAATCTATTTCACTCTGATCACTGTGTGACTGTAAAAAAACCACAGTGCAACATCATTTTCAAATGGTTTTCAGTCTAGTGGGATAGGTGTCAGTTGTGGGCGTCTTTCAGATGCTGGAGGTTTTAATCTAAGCAAAAGAGATCAATGTGCAGCACAGGAAGGAAAAGGCATTGCAAGAGTCTTTGAGAAGTTTTAGGCTTTTCTTCCCCTCCCAGCCCTTTCACTACCCTGCTATTTAAACATGAGCCATCGCCCTTGGCAGTGCTGTTTGTAAGCTACGGAGGAATTCTCCACATTGAGGCAAAATTAAAGCAGAACTAAGTAGCAGAGTTGTTTGAGGGCTTCCTCCAAAGCTCCCAGAAACCCATGTAAAGGTTCTCATTTTTTCCAACAAACACTCAGTCTGGCCTCAAGGCTCCCACTGAGTAGTCTGAATATTCTTCTTCCTTTTTGCTTTAAGCTTTTGCTCATTCTAGCCATTCCTCGTAACTTCTGTGGTCAAGATGGTAGGGTTAAAGAACTATAGAAATCATGTGTCCTGAGAAAACATCTGTACCACAGAAACTGCAGGTTTTGCTCTGTCCCAAAACAGAACAGTTCTTTGACATAAGAAAGTATCACCCTACTACAACATTTAGTAAGAAAAGCTCAAATGTAGTTTGATATGTCAGTGCAACACAGTTACTTCACTGGCGTTTGTCAGCACACATGAGAGCAGATTTCAAAACCTGAAGTCTCCTGGACAGGCTGATTTGGTTTTGTTGTGATAATTCCAAGAAGCTCTCTAGAAATAAGCACTTCACACTGAAGAAACACATTCTTAAAGAGATTGCAGCCTAAATTGGAAAGGCAGATGAAGGATGGGAAGGGAAACAGGCAGGAAGAGATGACATAACCACTCTTACCACTTTTCAAGGTAAGTCCATAGTACATGCTGAACTAGGTTTCAAACCTCTCAGCTGCTACATTGTTCATACAATGCTCCTCAGATGCAAACTGTGACATTCAGTGAAAAATTGAAGGTTGGGGAAAAAAAATGATGTCATAGGGATTGCCTGAGCTGTGATGACATTGTTGCCATAGACCATAGCAACCATGGCTGGACTTGTGATTTTGACTTCACTGCATTACCCATTCACCATGGTCAACACTACTGCTGTGTTACAGCATAGCTTAGGACCAGCCTCTCTATCAACTCTGGGTGAGCAGTCTATTCCCAGAATCTAGCAGCCATAGGAAGCCATTCAGACAAGCCCCCAAATCCCATAGGATATCAGTTTTGCTAAAAATAAATAAATAAATAAATAAATAAATAAAAATTATACTTCTTGCAAGAAATTATGCTTAAGATAGGTTTTCTGTGGAAGGGTTCATGGTAATCCCCAGAGGAGACTGACAGAATGAGTCAATTTTCTCTAAAATGAAAATAACCCATCTCCAAATGTCAATAATTATGTGATTGCCTTTAAGTTCCCTAATTATAAATTTACTGTTTCACATCTTTTGAAGCTCCGTTTTTAACCTGTTTTGGTACTAAGGTGGGAAACATTTTGACTGACTGTTAGTTTTCTAAGAACAAGTGGCCTTTCTATTTTTTGTTTTCCTTTTTTTTTTTTCAAGTTTGGTTATAAAACGATTCATAACTGTACTAACACCCACAGACAGTATCTCTAAAAATGATTTAAACAAAATGTATTGCATTTTGCACCTTTTTTCCATTGTTCTTAGAACTGCATTTGTTTTCATTAAGCCTTAACAAAGATCAGATTGAGCTGGAACTTGGGTAAGAGAGGTGATAAGTTTGCAGATAATAATGTATCTCATCAGTCATGAATTGCACAAATTAATCTTCAGATAGGGGCATGTCATACAAGAATTTACATGCTAGCACTTTAATTGTCAGAAGCTAGTTTCTATTAGGCAGATGGACTGTGAATGAGTAACAGCATTTCCCATTAGTGGAGGGAAAAAGAAAAATGAAGGTAAGTTCAAAAACATTAAGAAAATGCTTTAATAATATTGTTTAACTTAGCTTGTAATGAGGGGAAAGAGCAAGACCTTAAGCGAATTAAGACCATGTCTGCTTTGTTTAATATATACCGTCTCTCTGCTCAGAACAGAAGATGTGTATGGAAAAAGACAGTGAATTAAAGACGTATTACACAGGGAAAATGCATACAGAAAAGCAAAGATCTATTTAAAGGAATACTTTGAAAAGAGCAAAAAGAAATTCTGTGAAAAACTGTGCCGAGTTTTTTTGGTTTGTTTTGGTTTTGTTTTTTGTTTTTTTTTTTTTTTGGATAAAATTTGAATATTTCATTTTTTTCCGACCATTGCCGGTAAAAAGTGGGTTTTTCCTTCCTGTAATAAAGTGGACCAGAAGGGCCTTTGTACTGTGCGTGGTTTGATTTGCATAGGGAAAGAATGTGGTTGCTAGACACAGGCCACAACTCGGTCACTGTTTTTATGCTGTACTTTGTTGTTTAACATTTTGGAGCATGAATTGATCACTGTGTAGGTTCAGAAAAGTCCATGTCCATACTCTGGTGAACTCTGAGAAAATGCAGTCCTACCTTTATGTGATACCAACTCTTTGGGTCATGCTGGAGAGGCAAGTGTTTGTGGATCAGCGCAGCAATGCTGAATTTCACGCTCAACTGTTAAATAAACAGGACAGCCACTGCTGGTTCACATTTCTGAAAATAAAAGGATTTGGGCTACATCCTTGCTTGGGATAAACTGGCTTCAAGAATAAGTACTAGTGAACAGCACCAGTTTTCACCAAGTCAGGGATTACCTTGTACATACATGCTTCCTTTGTAATTAAGGGCTTGTTCAAGATAAAGCTCAGCAGATCATTATGATGACAGTACTTTTTCCTGTTCTGCCTTTCAGTTATAATTTGAAAATGTTTTTAAAGTATTTATTGCACTTAAAAATAAAATAAAATTATGAGCCAGCACCCCAGAGGCAGCTCAGAATTATTACAACCTGTTGTTTTGCAGGTGAATAAAGGAGAACAAATATGGGTTATTAAAGCCTAGGGTTACTGTGAATAAGGAAAAATGAGGATTAAAATCAAGGTAATACAGTTGCTAATCTTTGGCTTCAATAACTAAACTGCAGTGGGTCCCACCTGTACTCAGGGTTTTTGGTTGTACATTTAGACAAGCAATTGAATAAAAGCTAAAGTCAATCCCCATTCCTGCTACAGTTAGGGAGCATTATCATGGATCTAAATGTGACATGAAAGCCTACTGAAGCTTGTCAGCACTAGGATATATTGTAGACTTTTTTTTTTCCCATCAGAGTAATTGAATAAATACTTAAATACATGAGTCATTATTCAAAGAACTGCCCATTTTTTAATATACATTTATCATTATGCATATTTGTGTTTATAGCAACAGAGGTTTAGGACTTCAGAAATAATTTTTCCCTTTCTTGCAATCCAGTCTCAGGTAGTTCTGTTGTCATGCTGTATTTAAGAATCAGTTATATACTTGTAGAAAGTATTGCATTATTTTATCTTAACACATTAAAGTATTGGCTTTTGGGATGATAGCCCTTGTTTTTATAAATATTTTTTTCAGTCACTTTGCCTTTGCTTAGTGTCTGTGCAAATGTAAGTCAAACTCCATTTTTTGTTTCGATTTCCTCCCCAAAAAAGTAGCTAACCTGTTATTTGTTCAATTGATTCCCCACCCCCACTCCCCACCCCCAGTGGAACACACTGATAACATTTTAATTTCTAATAACATTTAGTATCCTGAATATAAATGTTCTTGTATATCTAAGACTGATGAGATACTTTGCCTTCACAGTAACAGAAAATATTTTCATGCAAAATGTACCGAATATGAACTCATTTATGACAGTTTCCATAAGTGATAAGAAATGATTAGGGACACCTAGCATTTTTTTCTAAATTTGATGAAACGGTAAAGCTAATTTATTTTGTGTATTCCTCTTCCTTTTAGAAATGTTGTATGAACAATTCTGCTAAAAAATTTCATAAAAATATTTCACTTCTCAGAAAATATTTGGACTACTTTTTACAAAGAAAATAGAAATTGCAAAATTGGATGAATTAATCTTTATATTTAAGGATTTGTATTACATTTTTATTCACCATTTTAAAATACATAATTGTAATAGGGGCTCTAAGGAGAGTGTATACACGAACAGTTACTTTCTCTTTTGATTCCTCCATTTGTTGTCTTGTAAAACTTAAGTCTTTAAGAATTGAATACGTATGTATCAAGAAAGGAAACGAAAATTTTCTGACCACCCTATTTTATCACCAGTTCTAAAATATCAATCTCCACAAAAAAAAAAAAAAAAAAAAATCTTAAAGGCAGAATACCTCTTTTTTTTTCCAACCTCCTTTCCTCTAGGCCCCCAACTTTGCAACAGTCCATTGAATTATGGAATATTTGAGAATTCATGGGAGTATCTTCTGCTCATCCCCTTTACAGGTAGCTACTTCCAAACTAATCTCCCTGCACAGATTATTAAGATAAAAAGATTTTCTACTTTTTCCTTTTCTTTTGATGAAGTCAGAGGAGCCAAGTCCTAGAAGCAACCATTTTCTTTTGCTGGTACTAGAGGACATCCAGTGTCACAAGCTCAGTGAAAATACATACACAGAATTGTCCTCCTGTAACAGCTTCTTTGTGGTTATGGTGGAAATAAGGTTTATTGAATGGAAAGCAAACTCCAAGCACCATAAACTTTGTGCTGATGGGAGTTTCTTATGAGTAGGAACATCGTAAGTTGTGGCAGGATTTTACTTTACGTCATGATGTGTTATTAGGGTAGCGGTTAATTTTAGATGTTTTTTCCAGTGACTTCAGTGAGATTTAGATAAAATGTCAAACTCTCTATTGTCCACACTTTTATTTATTTATTTTTTGCTCATATAAAAAATCAGTCTCTCTAATACTCAATAAGTGGACATATGGCAGTAAATACATGGCTGGAAGAGGTACTTTATGCTAACTAGTATGATAAATTTCACTCACAAAATAAGGTTATGAATCTGTGAGTAAAATCCTTAAGATCGTGAAGGCAGATAATTAAACCAAGTTCTCTAATATAATTTTTAGAGATAATTATGTTTTATGAAATTGGTTTTCATTTTTGATAAAAAGTAGAAACACGAATTGGTGAGTAACAGAAAGCAAAACCTTCATTCAGTGATAAATAAAGCACACACTGAGAACTTGAGAATTTACAATGAATACAAAGGAGGAATTTCTAGATCATGCATGGTTGATATTAGTAGATTTTTGGTAACTAAACAGAAAATTTTGTCAATAGTCATTTAAAAAGCTGTTAAAACCAACCAAGAAGTAGAATCTATTCTGCAAAATAGAACAGCTACAGTCACATTCTTTGTGTGTGTGATTCAAACCCACCAATATTATTAACCATAGGCTGATAGATGAAGCCAAAATATCGGTAAAAGAACAGAGTTTTTAACTGTGTGTAACACAGAAGAAAAACTGTTAAACTTACTCAGTTCTAAAGGCCTTTTCCATAATTTCTGCTAATGCAAAAGACTCCTGAGGCAACAAGACAGCTTACCTGCCAACTTTGACATTTCTATAACTAAATCAATATTTCAGGAGCCTTGTGTTATAAATCTGATGTTGATTTGAATTTCCTGAAAGTAATAAATGATCTAATTAGAAAACAAACAAAAAGGTGAGAATAATTATGGTGTTTATTCTACTGAGATGATAAGGTGGGCTTGACAAGACAGAATGCTCTTTCTAAACCTGGAGTCTGCCTACACTTGCAATTGATCTTAGGATTTAAAGTGTTTATTTTTTTGTTGTTGTTATTTGTTTGTTTTAATGCACCAAGTTAAAATGTATTACCTTGGTAGAGATGCTAAGAAGCAGTTTGCTTACAGTATCTCATACATTTCATTTTATATTCCTCTCACTGATTGCAAATTTTAAAATGCAGTTGTGAATATATTATTTATGTAGAAGTAGGTCTTATGTTTCGATGATTTACAGTAACATAGCTTCTAAAATCCTTTCCAAAAAACTCTTTTCTTCACAGTATCATTCACAAATAAGAATTGTTGCATCATTTATTTATTTATTTATTTGAATAGAGAAACAACACAAAAAGTAAAGAAGGCCATTTTTCCAGCTCTTTTTCTGTACTTGCAGGTACAATCAAAATCAAAGATTGTGTTGGCACATGATTCCTTGATTTATTATTATTTAGGATTTGAAGCTGCATAGTTCACAAAACCTAAAGGAAAATTTTGGGCAGAATTTTCTTTAGACATTGGTAAGTCCAACCCAAGGCCACATATGTTTCCCTCAGTGCAGTCAGACAGGTGGAATTAGGAGCCAGACTTCAGAAAGCACTAGGCCTTAAAGGGCTCCTCTCTAGCCTCAGTAGTTTCTTACAGGTGCATTTGTTATGTAGCTAATCTGTTGGGTTTCTTCAGAAGGAAAATAACAATAATAATAAAGTTATTGGTGAGTCAGTTTAGGCTTCCTGACTGTCCCACTGTATTAATGAACTTCCAGTGAGCAGCTCTTGGTTGAATCTCCTCAACATCGAGGTCTAGTGAACTCTGTTGTGGTTTCTACTTCATCTATTCCACAAGAACTTATTCTTATCTTGTCTTGACTTTTCCATATCAAGGGTACCAACAACTCAAAATAAAGATCCTCAGGTAAAAGCAAGACGTTTCACAAGAGTAGTGAAACATACTGTATTTGTGCCTAGTTACAGACTGAATGAGTGTACAAAGAAGCTGGTGGTTGATAATTTGATTCAAGACACCTTGCTTTATCTGATCAGTAAGAGCTGTATTGTGACATTAGAGTTTAAGTTGAAGTCTCATGGAACTTAAATAGTTGACTTCTCATTCAACATAGCAAGAAGTTTGGCTTTCAATAAGGGTCCCAAAGATGTTACTGGATTTGAAGATGGAGTCACCAAGTACCAC